AGAGAGAGATATGTGTGTTTCTGGTAACTTCCTCTTCTCAAGTCTGGGTCATCCTGCTTCTGGAAACTCAGAGAAATATACTTTATCCAAATCCACTGACTTTTATTGCCCTGTATGCATAGCCCAGGCTCAGAGGTATATACTCATCTTGGCCTGGCTTCCTGCTCTGAGCTGTAGAATGTGCATTGGTCGGAACCTCCCACCCCTCCCAGTTCTAGCCATCCCACTGAGAATCTGACTATAGTTTCTTCAGCCTCAGACCATTAAGGCCTTCCACTTGGGAATCAGAGAAGGAGATATAAGGGGGTATCTTGGGGAGTTTTCAAGGTCAAGGCCACATAGGTAGTGCCAGTGCTTGCCAGAACAAAAATGGAAGGGTTGGGGGATGGAGGCAGATAAGAAAGGTGAAGGTGTAACTGAGAAGCAGGGTCCTACCCTGTCCCTTGAAGGAATCATGAAGGACTTTGATTCATCAGAAAGACCACGGTGGGGAGAGACTGGCTTAGCCTTTGGATATGGAGTATAGGATCGCTAAGATAGGAAAGGGGGTATTTTCAGTTCAGCTTCTAGGACACTGTGCCACCTCAGGTGGAACCAATAGCCTTGTGAGATCTCAGTTGCAAACTAGATTATCTGCCACATTATTATACACCTTCCTAATTCATTTCCTTCTTAGACCAGGAGGCCATTCTTCCTTCTTCCCAAGATCTGTGCTTCAACCTTCTGTGGCCTCCTTGGCCACTGACCCTTTCCCCTCATCAGGTGGAGGTGTTCTAGAAGTAGAGGGTGTTTCAGGCAGTCATAACTGGGAGGGGCTGGCCCAGCCCTGTCTGAGGCTGGTGCCAGGTCGTGCCTGCCTAGGGGCAGACAACCAGCCTCTGCCAGAACCAGGAGTCTGGGCTGGTTGGGGCCTCCCTGGAAGAGAATGGAAGGGGGGCAGAGGGCAGGAACCCTCACAGATAAGGTGAGGCCTGGGAGGAAAGAGGAATGAAGGGCAACCAGAAGGAACAAGCCCCTGGAGCCACCCTGCCCCAAATCCTCAGCTCACATCTTCCTTAGTCTTTTGTCCTAACTCCCAACCTGTCAGAAACTGCTTAACCCTTAGCATGCCCCAGGATTTGGAGGACTCAGGGTCCAGGGCAGACTGGCTGGCTCTGGTCTACTCTGGCAGAGTCCAGCAGCTCACTGGCACCATCTGCTGGCCCATTGGAAGGGTACAGCTGTGAAGGGATAAAGGCAAGGAGCCCTGGATTTGAGGATGAAGGAACAGAAGTCCCTAGTTGGGGGTGCCAAGTGGCAGTCTCCAAGAGCGTTCATACTATATTCTCTATCCTGGGTTCTTGGAGCCAGGCACTCATTTATCACCTCGTCCTTCCTCTGTGGTCCAGCTCAGAGGCAACAGAATCCCAAGGAGCCCTGCATTCTGCTCACATCTGACATAATGACAAAGGGGCTCCTCTTCCTGCCAATGGCCAGTCCTTGCACGTGCTCTAGATCCCATCATGCCCCTGTGAAGGACAGCAAATTTATTTAGTTAGTTAGTTTTTCCAGTACTGAGGGTCAATCCCAAGGGTCCTTTACCACTGAGCTGTATCCCTAACCCTTTTTATTTTTTGAGACAATCTCACTAAATTGCCCAGACCTGACAACAAATTTTTATTGACTTCCTAATGGATTCGGGCCCTGTGCTGGACAAAGGGGACAGGGTGTCTTGCTGAAGACAAGAACAAAAAACAACTGGCTGTACCCAGTAGCAACTCTGGCTCTGGCCTCTCCTGTTGGTAATCTCAATCCTACAGTCCTTTCCTCCGGCACTGTTCTCACATGGTCTCCTTCTTTTCTCAACCACATTTCTCTAAAGTTGTCAACAATCACTTTCTCCACTTTGCTCCCCATCCTGACCTCACCAGATGTCACCACTAAATGACCTTCTAGTCACCAAATCCCATAGACCCATCTCTGTCTTCTAACTTGGCCTCCTTGAAGCCTTTGCCCTGCTGGCCTCTTTTGATGGCCCCAAGCCCTGTCTCCCCTGCACAGCCACTGCTGCTGGTTTCCTCCTACCTCTCTGCCTCTCCTTGAGCCTCCTTCACCAGGTTGTCCTCCTCACGGTTAGCCTCTGGCTGTGGAGATCTCAGGCTCTTCCTGCCCTGCCATGCGCATATCTTGCTTACATGCTGGCCACACTTTCGGCTCTCCAACCAAGGTCTCCTTTCTGCCCTAGATGCCTCCCTCGGACACACATAGGCCCCTTGCTCTCAGCATGTCCAAAATTGGTCTCATCATCTTTCTGAGTCCTGGGAGCCTCCTCCTCCCCACCATCTTCCCCACCTTCATTCCGTGTGTTGATTTCCAAACCTCTTACTCTATCCCAAGTCCTGGGTTAAGTGCAAAGGCCTCACAATAGTACTTTATAATAGGTCTCTCATTGTCACCATTTTACATGCAAGGGAAGGAAGGCAACTTGGTTGTTAAAATTAATTCCAAAACTTGTTTCTTTACAATTTCCATCAGAGGCTTCCAGAGACTTAGAAAATCATTCAAGATCTTGGACTCGACACTGGATCCACCTGAACATCCAAACTCAGGTATACCTGAACTCAAAGTCTGTGCTCTTGAGAACTGTTAGTGTGGAGCTGTTTGCCACATGCATGGCCTCTTAGACTTCATTCTAAGGGCAAAGGAGAGCTTGGGATCATCTTCAGCAAGACACCCTGTCCCATTTGGCCAGAATTTGGGGAAAGCATGAAGACTGGAGGCCAGAAGTCTTATTACTACATCCACACGAGGGACAGGAACCAAGGTCTCATTTAGAAACAGCCCAAGGTGTTCACATACATGCCAGGGCTGAGGCCAGAGGGAACTGAATGCTTGTGGATTCCAGCACTTCATACATGTGGCATGGGAACCCTGGAGGATGCCAACTTACCTCCGAATGCCCTAGGTGTGAACTGAAACCCCCCATTTTTTAGAGGTATCCCATCTAGGCTGAGCACCTTGAAATCAGGCCCTTTATTACCCAGGAGAAGACAGTAAGACACAAGAAGCCAGGAGTGTCATTTGGGTTTTTAAACTGTGTCTGGCACCTCTGAATTCTTTTCCTGTCCCCAGGATTAAAGGCAGATGTTTGGAGATTAGGGTCCTTGGAGGTGGGAAACAGTTTGTGCTCTGCAGTGTTTTCTGGACCAGCCTCAGGGGAAAAGCAGGCCCCAGCTGAGAGCACTTAGGGGAAGTACTTGGCTGACTCTGGGTGTGATCTGTCTTGGATCCTCCAGTTGAGATTTTGAGGATTAATAATCCTCTTTCACATTTATTGTGTGTTTGCTGCATGCCAGAAATTTGTGGTCAGCTTGCTTGTACTTTATTTATTTTCCTTACACACATCATACCTCTGAAGCAGGTACTTTCATTAGCTCCTTCCCAAACATAGGACATAGACTCAGAGAAGTTAAACTCCATGCCCTAGGTCACCCAGCCATCCAAATCCTATTCTCCTAACCATCATGCCACACTGCCCCTGGCCTGAATGGCATTATTTAGTGAATGGCACCCGGGTGAAAGACTGTCAACCTTCCTTTATTTGCTTCTGGATAAAAAACATGTCTCTTCAAGGCAGAGTTAAGGCAACTTGGTTGTTAAAATTCCAAAACTTGCTTCTTTACAGCTTCCATCAACCCTGATTCAGGCCTTTTCTTGGCAGAACAACTGCAAAAGATACAAAAATTAGTTTCTGTTGGACGCCTGGTGTCATTTATTTGCATATACATAATTCAGCCCCACCCCTGGTGGCTAATACCCCCCAGGGGAAGCTGAAGCTGTTTTCTGATTGCTGGTGGGGAGGCTTGTGTGTGTTGTTTTTTAAAAATAAACTGAAACCAGATGGATGGGGTTTTGTTCACAGCCTTGCCTCCAATTTTCTCCAGCGAATTCCTTGAAAAGGCAACCACCTATGAACAGTGCCTGTGCTCCGCTCCGGAGGTCCTTCACCACTGGTATGCAAATAGCCAGTGGGGTTGGTATTTCTAAAAGAGAAAACAAAAGGGAGAAGAGAAGAACTCTGTGGCTCAGGGACTTTCCAGAATGCAGGTCATCTCCAGGTAGAGCCCCAATTTTAGTTCTGCCCTCACTCTCTTTCCCCCTCCCTTGAGTTTAGGGTAGGCTAAGGGGGCAGGAGTCTTAGACTAAGATTGAGACAAAAGCACCTGGACCGACCCCCATGTACACCCCATTTTTGGCACTAAATGTTGCCATGAGATTCCAGATCTCTGGATGGGTTGATTTTTAGCCTCAGGAGTTATCTCTCTCCAAAGGGACCCATAACCAGTCATACTTCCATCCTGGAAAGGCAGACACTCAAAGTGATTATTGGAATATTTTTAACCAATGGCCAATTCCAGAGCTTTGTAATGCCCAGGAGCCCCCCCATTAAGCGATTCAGGAAGAACAGGCAAATGGGTGCCCATTGGTCCCTGTGCCAGGGGGTTAGCATTTTTCTCTGGAAAGTGAATTGGGCATTGTCATAGTGAGGTAGGACCTAGTCCCCAGGCAGGGGAAAACACTTCCCAACCCTGCCCTTCATTCCTAGCTCAGGACACTGTTCTTTTGGATTCTGAGGGTTTTTTTTTTTTTTTTTCTTTTTCCTTTCAGATAATTGTGTCAGGTTACATAAGGTTTTGAGATATGAACACTCAAAGAAAATTCCTCTGGGAGCAGGTCTGAGAGGCTCCAGGCGCAGAAAGTGCTTTAAAGTGTTCAAAGAAAAATTCAGGTGTCTCAGCCCTCCACAATTTCTGAAGTAAAGTAAATGAGAGTAGCCAACAACTTTGCATGCATGTACTGTTTCCCATAGAAATGAACAAGCAAAAAGATAGATTTCATGTTGAAAGAAAATCTCCCGCTCTGGGAGCCCTGCAGAACCCAGCAGAGGTCATTTTTAGAGTGGGCAGCTTGGACAAGGCTGGTAGAAATGGAAATCCTTAGCAATCCTGGACCTCTCTGTCTCTCTTTTCCTTTCTGCATCTTAGGTAACATATGTAGTAAATACAAACCTTCAGTTTTCTAAGAAACATAAAATAAAAACTGGATTATTGGCAGAAAAGCCTTAAACTCTTGGTTCCTAGGACTCTGAGGGCACATTTTCCACACACCATGATTTTTATTTCATTTGCCTTAGAGGAGTGGCCCTCCAGCAGCTCTGTTGCATAAGGTGCTGCTGATTCCAAACACCTTGTCCCCAACTGGAGACATACAGTAGGTTTTATCTAGGTCTGAGAAGAGTTCTGGAAGGGTGACATCCTGTTCCAAGTCACACTGGTTATAGTCAACAGGAGAGTTTGCCAGAGGCTTCTCACCAAGGAAGCAGAGGGAATATTTTAAATACCAAACAGCACTTTTTGCTTAAAGCACAAAGTGGTCATAAAAACCACTTAACAAGGGAAAATTAATGGAAGGAAGATATCTTGAATGTAGAGGTGGGAGCTTTACAAAGGACATGGAAAGAATAGATTTTACTATGTTGAAGGGATAGTAATATAGGAGAGTCTTTTTTTTTTTTTTTTTCTCCTTTCTGTGCTAGGGTTGGAACCCAAGGCTTCACATATACTCTCACTGAGTTACATCTCCAGTTCAGAAAAGTAATTCTTTTTGGTATTGGGATAGAACCCAGTGGCTGTCTACCTCTGAGCTATACCCCCAGCCTT